CAGCATTATGGGTTAACAACAACGTTAATATTGTTATATCATTACGCAATCGTTTTACTATACATAATACCTGCGTAATAACAGTTAGTATAATAGTACCGACACTGTCATTAAGAGTAACAGGATAGAGGTACAGGAGTTCACGATGATCGACGAAGCGAGGCCTGCCTGTCGGTGGTTGACACGCGGATGGAAGCGTGACGATAAGGTCCGGGTAGCATTTCTTTCGAGAGTAAACGACGAGACGAGCACTTGTGTGCTCGTCTCATCGTTTTCTTTCTCTGTCTCAAACGCGAAAGAAGTCAATTGGCCTTTGCCCTTCTTCGGAGACCCTTTCGAGAGCCGCTCGACGGAGGCGACCGCTTAATCGCTCGGCGCACAGTGGTCGCTCTGTCGAGCCCTATCCGCCTCGCGACTAACTCGAGGGACAGCGTTTAAACGCCCGATACATCACGACCGTGCTTATTCGCTCTTACGGCGTTGTTAAATCGGATACAGACGCCATTGAGACCGCAGGATGTCGTCGGACTTTGGAATAGACCTTTGTATAAAATCATTCCTTGTGCTATGATTATACTGTCTCTCTTTCTCATCATTCTCAGATTTTTCACACTTGATTATACGACTCGAACTATCGGATTTCTTCTCCCTTTAGTAATGTTTGGAATTAATTCTCTCTATACAAGGTAAAATTAAAATATTTTCTTATGGTTCAAATCCAACGCTCGATGATCGATTAAATTGTTCAATATTAAATTAATGAAGAAACAAAACAATTAAAAAATGTATAAATGTAGCTGTTAATTTTAAAATTAAATTTGAAGACATCTAAATTTATGTCAAAGCATTTAAAATCACGATAGTAGTTTAATTTTAAATGTTTCTTAATATTTTTTCAACTATATACATCAGCTTGCAAATATAACGTTGCAAAATAATTACAAGTTACACAGATATACCAAAACAAATTTAAAATTAAACTGTTATTCTATATCGTTACTTTAAATGTTTCAACATAAATATACATAGAGATATTTTCAAAATTAACTTTAAAATCATCTTTCGCTTTCGTAATCTCAAAGTGCTTTTGACGAAGTAAATGCAGTCGGCATTTGAACTATTATAATGTGTTACGTTGAAAAGTGAATTTCTGCCTGGCGTATCACGCTCTCGGAACCGCTTCTGCGAGAAAAATCCAGTTACCCGCGGCTCTCTTGCAAGTTCATTCGCAGCGTGCGCGTGTCTTCTCTCGCGGTTTTCCGCGAGAACGGCGCAAATTGCGGCGGACGCACCGGCGCGCGTCGCGCCGCCCATTGACTTTTGATTCACTGGGTATGTGGGTCGGAGTGTCGAGCGCCGCTCTCATTGCCAGAGTGGATCGTCGGTAGCGATGGGCCTGAGACCCACGCGTACGCGGACATCAGCGCTCAAGCATTCGCGACTATCAAGAAGGGATACAAGAAGTCTGTTGTAGCGACGATTTATGCAGCGTACACCATGTCAGATCTGCGATACTAAATTTATGTACGATAGATACATTATGTATGATAGATACGTAGAATGAAGTCAAAGAACTCTGAAGGCTAAAAATAAATGCGATATGTTCATTCATTAATTGGTAAAAGTCTGGTTGCATTAATTGAAATTCTGGTAGATTGAATCATAAAGATACAAATCAGACACGTATAGTTAAAGCAAGAAATAAAAGACTCTATACTAGAAAAAGGATCTGGAGGTATTAATTGGAATTCTGATTAATGGACAAATCAGGATTTTCTGGTTGACTCTAATATACTTAATTATAGTTGAGATAACTAGAATTTGAATTGATATGATCAAGGTCTTCTGGTTCGTTCATTTTCAGAAATTTTTCTCAGTGTACAGAATATGAATCATAGAAATGAAAATGCAAATCAGAGCCGATACTAGATGATCAAAAACGTCTAATTACTTAAAATGTGTAGTAAAAGAATTCTAATGTACACATCACGAACACCTAATGTCGCTTCTCATTGGTATTTTCATTTCTATAACTTATAATTAAATCTATCAAACATTCTAATTAGGATAACCGCAGAAATTCAATTATGATAACCAGAATTATAATTAGCATGATCAAATACGTTCGTACTTTTGTTCATACTTTTAGTTAATAACCAGAACATTTTTTCTCGATATCTCAATTTCCAAAGTTGCGAATTGAATAAATGACGCTACCTCATGACATGAATTTAAGGTCCTCGTATTCAGAAGAATATAAAGTCGCAAATCAGCTCCATTCTGTAAGCGTATGTAGCATTGCTGAGCTTCAGCTGTCGCTTTGCCTCTCGCGAGCTCATAAGTAACTTTTCAAGGGCCTGTCATCCTGTCGACAACGCATTGAACTCAAATCCAGAGTGCAAGACGAGCAGCTTATCCACTTTTCGTTGGAATTTATAAAGTTGAAAAAAATCTGTATACTTGAAAATGCTTATATGCTAAAAAAACTCTAAAGAGACCTTAGCCACTTTAGAGACTCTATAGGTAACAGAATTTAGCCACAAGTGATTTTGTCAAAATTCTACGAGAGAGACAGGTATATAATTTCTAGATATATACACTATTAAAAATAAAATGTTAATTTCAACTTAAAGACATATAATGGACTTTTTGAGATGCAAAAATGTTAAAATTAACATTTTTTTGGATAGAAAAATGTTTTTCAAGTTTCCGTCAATAGCTATGAATTTTCTTTACTAAAATTAAGATGTGATTTAGAAAAAAAAGATCTGCAAGTAGAAAATGCTGATGTCAAACATGACGTAGTTTCGATATCGGGATATTATTGTAGCCTCGAGGTTTAAACTGGTTTAAATCGTGCGGTCCGCCTCCTTTTATCGGTGAGCGATATTTCGAAATATTCGCGAAATCCAGCCACCGAGGAGCGGGAAATGAGAGAAAGTGAGCGCAAATGCGAATCACGCGAGACGCGAATGCGCCTCGTAGCGTGCTAAGAAAATCCGTTACTAATACAACAATGTGCAAAAAATAATAATTTTCGATCCCAAAAAGTCGGTTATATTTTTATAAATTTTTTATTTTTGTTGCGGAAGGCTCGATTTAATAATTCTACTTTAATATTTTTCCATCCAAAATAATTAGAAAAATCATATTATGTAAAACAGTTATATAACTTTATTTTAAAAAACGGCGATAATCTTTAATTAACCTCAAAAAATCGATTTTTTTTCTATAGAAAACTCGATGAAATTTACTAATAATAAAATATAAAAAAGATATCGTTCTGTTCAACAGCTTTCTTATAGATTTCGAACTTTCATCTGTCTATCCATTGACGATGAACGAATATGCGCAGTTTTCTCTTCTTCATCTTATAGAGATCTCAATACACTCGTAAATATCACAAGATTAAATAAATGCATCGAGAATACATTATTACGTGCCACCACGTATAGTTTATTACGTCGATAATTATCGTTGAAACTCGTTCCAGCAAGTCTGACGATTTATTTATTTCTGTAAAGGTAACGTCTGGGTTCGCTGAACTCGCGTTATAAATCACTAATGAAAAATTGACATGCAACTAGCCGAGCATATTTTCGGCGAAAAATCGATCTGTCGATTTCGCGCAAAAATACGACGCCAATTAAACGCTTTTACCGTCGCGCGTCGATCAACCACTTTTTTTCATACAACTTTACGATATATATATATCGTAAAGTTCACATATGTGAACTATTGTAAATGATAAGCGTGAACGTAGGATTAAAAAAAGATAGAACTTGTATAGCAAATTCTCAATTGAGCGCCAAGTGCTGTGGCGTTCACCTCGGAATAAAAATTGACAGACACGGAAATAGTTTTAATACACCAGATAAATATGTCGAGGTCACCCGGAGAATGCGCCGTGGCATAAAACAAGGAGTGCTTAGTAGATGTTAAAAAATATAACGTGTCGTATCATTAAAATTCAAGAAAAAAATGATAAAACGAAAGAACATTGAAATTGTGTTGAAAATCTTAGAACATATAGGCGCTGAAAGTGTATAATTAATTGGCACTGTCTCCAACATATATTTATCCTGTCTACTTTGCTGCATATGTTGATTATAGTCTACAAGTACTTAAATTTAAATATTATAAAGTATGTATTGCACGAAGTTTGACAAATGATTATTATCTAGTGCAAGCGTATAGTCAGATTTCAAACAGATAAAGATACATTTTATATCGCTCCCTTATTTAAAAAATACATAACTAAAAAAAATGTCCTTTTCAAGTTATTATCATGAAGTAAATAAATATTATCTTATCTCTCAATCTCTCTATCTCAAAAGTGATCTAACATAACTTCGCAAAAAGTCAAAATATTTAAAAAATAATGATTTTTAAAAGTTGATTTTCAAGATAAAATAAAAATGAACAAAATTATATTTAATATTAAGAATATATTTTTTCCCCCGATATTATTTGATGAATCAAAATTTTCTGACGCGTTAAAAAAGTTTTTTCTTTCTTGAAAAACTTAATTTTTTAACTTGTATCACTTTTGAAGTAAACGATATGTATGCTTAGAATAAGATTGTAGGAAAACAGAAATAACCGACGCGATCGCACGAGTATCATGTTTTCGCGGGAATTCACCTGTTACGTAAAACGGCGAACACTACATCTCGTCGACCATTAGATATTCGTCCCAGCGATCTGGCGAGCTCGGCGACGATCTCGATGAACCGAATAGAACCGGGAGATACCCGGAGATAATACCCGTAGATATATATCCTTAATTCTTGTACAGCGCGTGGCATCGAGAAATCGTGGGGAAAGGAGCCGCCGGGTCGTCGAACCCCGTTCACGAGAACTAGCGACGAACGGGCGCATCTCGCGCGCGGCGTCTTTTTCTCGTCTCTCCCTCTCTCTCTTTCTCTCTTTCCCGGTTTTTTTTTTACAACAGACGAGCGCACATGCGAGATCGCGGGAAACCATGCTTGAGGACTCACTTTAGCTGCTGGTCCCCCGGCTTCGTCGCCTTGCCTCCTTGGACGACTCTTCTCGCCGGTCTCCGCGTGCTGAAGAGCGACGCGATCGGGTCCCTTTTCCGCACCGCGCTCGGCGCTGCTCTGGATGCTGGTGCCGCAGGCTCAGCCGGCTTTGCCCTGAAATTCGCATTAATTGCTTGTGGATTAAACTGAGGATTGATATTTTTTTCATTAAGTAACAGACGCGTTGACCCCGGCGCGGTTAATTGGCCGAATCACCGATTAATTTTTTTTTTTCGTAGAGACAGTGATGAAGATGGACATTATCTTCGAGGCGTTGCATTATAATATTGATATTAATTCCTTAAAAATTACACATTCATATATATACACGAAGATCGATTGTGTTTAAAAATATTTTTAATGTTACAAAGTAAAGAGAAAGGAATACTATATAGATATTATTTTGAATTATATTTTCATCGTATCGTGTGTTTCTCAGTACTCTCTGTTGAGCCTCCTCTTTAATTAAAAACAATAAAAGAAAATTGTGCTATTAGGAGACAAGTGCAGTAAATGATGTGCGAATTAATCAATTAACAAAACAATGTATTTAATAATTATATACAAGAATATTTCAACTCACATTCATTATTTTTAACAGACATAGAATAAAAAAAGGAAAGATAAGACTACTGTAGTATTTTTTAATATCAATTTATTATTTAGTAACACTTTTTTAGTATCAGGCTGTGCGTGTGATATGAGCAAATTTTACAAGTAGGTTACAGTACCTGAAGTATGTTGACCATGACGATTGTGTGCCACGGGTGATTAATGTAAGGATATGTAATCGTAATGTCTTGTATGAAATGTACCTTAATAGACTAATTTTTCTTCTTTAAACCGTGAAACAAATAAACTTCAACTCACCTCAACGTCACAGTATATGTAGATAAAAATCAGTGTGATAAAACCAAAAGAACAATCAGCAGAATAAAATTGTAAAAATGAAAAATGAATCAAAAGACTGTCAAATCATTAAAAAGTAATAAATTAGGGAAGAAACTATAAAAATGATCAACACGGGTGAAAGTACTTAAAACGAATAAATATTTAAAAAGAAAACATTACAGATCAAATAAAGTGCTAACATTGTTTACAGACTATTCAAAACATGCGATTTGAGCTCGGTGTCAATTTGTAAATTCAAACTATTCTTTTAATATTCAATATCTCCGACGTTAAGCGTTTGTCGAAGTTTAATTTACAATTAGTCATAATTTTTACATTATTCGAATCAAATTCGTAATCAAATTACATTTTATGATCGATAATAATGGAATTAGTAGATGTATTTCTATTGATGTGAAATTTTTATTAATGTAAAACTTTGGAAATTCTAGTTTTTAACAGTCTACCTGTCTATCTGACATAAAATGTATTAGAATATTTGCAGGTTTTATAAACCACTTTCTTGCGCGAATGATTTGAGAATAAATCCTTGTGAACTTTAATAAGCCTGCGAAATTTATTCATGTAAGTCTAAATTTTTAATTATATTTCTAAATGGATCAAAAATAGTTGATATATACAGAAAGATAAATGATGTTAGGATTGTCTCAAATGCGAGTTGTTATTCTGTTTTGTTTTTTTATTAACTAGAATTTTTAGTCGTTTTTATTGCATCTAGAATGAAAATGAAGGGGTAATCTTTATCAAAAGGACGTTAACAATAAATGATAAAATTTGATGACGAAACTTTGGATGAGACAGAAGAAAAGCTCTGATAGTTAACATTATTATCGTCTCTTTTTTAGAAGAGTAAGCGTTGCGACATGAAATTAAGATATCTTTCCGAAAAAACAGGTTTGTAATATCAGTTAAAATCTCTTTAATAAGCAAAAATAACTTTCAACCACAAATGACGGATCATGATCGAAAATTGCATCACTTTTATGCCAGCGGGAATATATTTAATTTAAAAATCTTGTGTGCTAAGATATATATATTCTATGTTCCCGCCAACAATTTTCCGATCGTGTCGATTTCACGCACGATCATTTATTCTCGCCCACAACTCCGAGAAGTGCGCGACGCAGAGACAATCGACGTGCAGTCCGCAATTCCGTTGCACAATAAAAATCAGAGGCGGTGAACGATCGTCCGCCCGCGCACGATAATGATCGTTCTAACGCGAACGCAGGAAAGCTGCAGATACTCCCTCTCTCTCCTTTTCTCTCTTTCTCCCGCCTCTCTTATTCTCGTTGCGCAAAGAATCGATAGAATTACTTACATAATACCGCATATTAACGCAATGCGATACCACAGAGAAATGCGTGTAAGAGATACAGGTGATTAACGGGGAGGATTGCATAACGTTTATGCGTGCGTTAACAACCCCCCCCCCC